TCAGCGGTCATAAGGCAGGAGTCAACGACAGAGAGGGAGTCCCGACGCTGGAATAAGTGCTTGAGTTCTCCTGAGAAGTTAATGTTAGGACAACGTGTCTGAACGTAAGCGATAGCCTGGCGGAGGACAGAATCGTTTGCAGTTTCGCGACGTATGTCGGCGGCTGTAAGAGGAAGGCTGCGGATAGTGTCTGAAAGCTGATGACGAACATCTTCTTCGACGGCGAAAGCGGCGATCACGATATCTTCATTTACCGTATGTTTGGGGATAAGGCGTGAGAGACCGTCAGCTTGACCAAAATCCTGAGTGCGGCAAAAACGGATTTCGAAATCGTAACCGAGAAGGATGACGGCCCATCGTTGAAGTCGACTGGTTGAATACGTTGGAATACCCTTCTTGGAGCCAAAGATGGACAACAACGGCTTGTGGTCGGTCAGTAAGGTGAAATGTCGACCATACAGCATTTTGTGGAACTTTTTAACAGCAAAGACGATAGCCAAGGCTTCTTTCTCGATCTGACCGTAGTTCTTCTCTGCGGACGTCAGCGTGCGGGAGGCATACATGACCGCTTTCTCGGAACCATTGGGGAAGCGATGGTAGAGGACCGCTCCGATTCCGTAATTGGAGGCATCAGCGGCGACTAAAATGGGTAAGGCTGGATCGTAATGTGTCAGCAACAGGTCAGAACTGAGCATAGTTTTCAGGCGCGCGAAGGTCTTCTCGCATGCGGGGGACAAGTGCCAAGAAACATCCTTTTGCAACAGTTGATTCAGAGGGGCCCGTACATCGTGTAGTGATGGTAAGAAAGCACTGTAGTAAGTGATGAGACCAAGGAAGGAGCGCAGTTGATGAATATCCTTGGGAGGTGGCATCTGGTGAATGGCTTCGACTTTTCCGGGGTCGGGGTGACGGCTATTAGCATCGAAGACAAAGCCGAGGTACTTGATTGACTGTAGGAAGAATTGGCATTTATCGGCGCTCAGCCGGAAATCATATTCCTGGATCCGTTTAAAGACCGAGACCAGACGTTCTCGCAATTCTTTTGAGTTGCGACCAACAATAAGGAGATCATTCAGGTATGCGGCCGTACCTGGAATGCCAGCGATCATTGTATCCATTGTCTGCTGGAATAGGGCTGGCTCGGTCTTGACGCCAAACGGCAGTCTGGTGTACTGATGGAGACCGCGGTGTGTGTTGATCGTCAAAAGCGGTTGTGACTCCGGAGCCACCTCGATTTGTAAGTATGCGTCTGCCAGGTCGATTTTGGCAAAACGCGTCCCGCCATTGAGTATGGTAAAGAGGTCGTTTGGTGATGGTAATGGGTAGCAGTTCGGCTGTAGGGCGGCATTGAGGCCCGTAGAGAAGTCGGCACAGATGCGAAGGGATCCATTTGGTATCTTGACAACAACGATTGGGGCTGCCCAAGCAGAGTAGGACACCGGTACCAGGACACCCATATCTTCCAATCGTTTAAGTTCGGCATCAACCAATGGTAAAGCTGCGTATGGGACCGGCCTTTTAGGACGGAATGCCGGTTGAGCTCCGGGAGCAAGCTGTAACACTGCGCGGGTGCGCGAACAGCGGCCAAGACCATCTTGGAACACTGAGGCGAACTGTCGGATGAGGTCATCGGTTTCGTCAGTTGGTACGGCCAGAGATTGTACCGCGCTGCAGATGGTTCGGAGAGGTAGATCGGCCATGCCAAGCTGTTCGAGCCAATCGAGACCAAGTAGATTGAGGTTTGCCTTGGCGATGTAGCAGATCCCGTCGACTGTGACACCTCGAAAGTAGACGGAACAATGCAGCTGCCCAGTTAGCTGCACGTGGCCACCACAGGCGCTGGTGGCGGATTGAAGGGTTGGCTGGACTGGTGGACTACCAAGGGACCGCCAGAGTTTCTCGGAGATGATCGTGATGTTCGAAGCAGTGTCCAACTGCAATCGGACGGTCTGGCCATTAATCTGGACGTCGACGAACTTCCTGCGATCCGCATTGACTTGGAATGTGGCCAGCAAGCTCATGGAGCTGCCAACCGGGCCAGTGTTGGGTTTACGTCTGGATCGTGACCTCTTCTTTTGACTGTGGGTGGGGGCCAGGACAGGTTTGGTCCCCTTGGGTTGTGCGGGTCTGCGGGTGGGGGCCAGCCCAGGTTTGGCCCCCTTGTGCGACGTAGGATAGCAGTATCCATCACGGTGCCCCATGCTGCCACAACGTTGGCATCGATGCTGTCGGAAGTTGCAATTTCGGTGGAAATGGCCTGCACCACAGAATCGGCACGGATAGGGTGGGGGTTTCGCTCGGTTGAGTTGGGAGAGCCGCTCAGAAGGTTACGGCTTGGGGGCTGCGACCACCTGGACCAGACCAGGCGCGGAAGCGTTCTGGATCATCAAGAAATCGTGTTTCAAATTGATCAGCGATTGACACCCCTCGGCCAGGTTGTGGAGTGTGATCGTGCTGCCCTGCTGCAGCTTGGATAGGAGGCGCGTTCGGATGTCGGCATCATGGGCAGGACTGGAGGCCAGAAATGAAAAGCAAGCACTTGAACTGGTCTTCTGTGAGGGAGCCAAGCTGGAACCGTTCGCATTCCCGATTGACGATGCCCGCGTATGTGACGAAATCATCGGCGTCTCGTTTGGTCAGCTGCAGACATTGGTACCGGGTGTTGAACAGCGAGGACTGTTCGCCAAAGATCTGCGACAACGTGCGGACCGTTTCACCAAAGGGAACATCGCGGGGCTTCTTTGGCAGGATGCAGTTTGTATAACGTTGGTGCTCGACCGTGCCCAGTTTGCGCAGAAGCAGCCGGACCTTCCGCGCGTCAGCCTGGGAAGCCAGGTCCACGGTGAACAGATCCTCGTACCGTTTATGCCAGGACTCGAAGGAAATTTGAGCGCCAGGGTCATACAGGAATTCGGAGATGCTGCTGCAGACATTATCAACCGAAGGAGTGCTGCCCGTGGAACCTGAATGAAGGGAAGAACTGGAAAGTTTTTCCGTTAAGGCAGTCATTAAAGCAATCTGGTGCTCCAAAAGTAATTTAAACTCATTATATGCAACTGCCATGGGTTCAAATACTTCGTCACCACTGTTGAATACTGCCTCTTGAATACGTCAGGTTCTAACAATGTGATACCAACTCTCCTAGTCGGATGAACGAACGAGACTCATAATTATTTTCTCGCACAGCACGGTAACTGACAATCTCGAAGTCTGTGGGTTCTCGGAACTTAGCCGCGAAAATTTAATTCACGCGAGTCGAACGGGTTCCTAGACCGAACGCAAAGTTTCTACGCACGATTTCCCAACCCAAGACTGAATCAAGAACAAGACAGGCCGTTTGCCACAGGCGCTTTTACTGGCCAAAGCTAAGGCGATTCTAGCGTTGTACAGCCTCATTTTTATATCACGAAACGGTGATGAAGGGGGTTTTCCCTTGGAAGGGTTTGCATAAGCAAACCCTGGAAACAAGAAACATGGTTTTATGTAAATATGCAAGATCCGTAAACTGAGCAGAAATGTTGGAAGTTTGGCGAGAGTTGTCCGGAAAAATAAATGTTGCTTGGATACAACAATGCGTGTTTGGTTGGAAACAAGACTGTTTCTGGGTGCAAAGGCTAAACAATGTGAATGTTTCACGAGTTGGAAGGCTGATTGAACGTGTGCGTTTTGTCTGATCCGAGTACATGTGCACTCGTGTGAATCGGGTTTTCAGCCTTCTGTAATTTAAGCCTGTAATAATTATAGGGACGTTGGGTCCCCATAACAATCCACGTCAGCTATTTCCCTTTACTTGTATCTTTCCAATCTTAGCATGCAGATGCAACACTACTTGGTTCACTGGCTTGTCCATTTCTTCCCAATCGTTTTTGCTCTAATGCTGCTCCGCGGTTAAATATACTGTTTACCCACATTACGGAACTTTTGGTTTGCTCGTTGATATGGATTGCATACAATTATTTTTAGCCTGATTGTTGTATACAATCAGCAGTGACGCATGGGGGCGTTGGTGACTGCAGCTCCCGTAATCCATCGAACAAAGGATTTTATAGGACGAGTTGGTTTTTTCTGTCTTACGGATGAGCTAAAACGTCTCCAAAATATATGCATTGGTACTCCATCTCACTTAGAAAGTACCTTCACAAGTCTGAACAGTAAGGTATCCTTATTTTAGTTCCTTTTAAGCACCCATTCTGTGAATGAATTGCAACTGGCGGTTTCAATTTGAGGTTCGGTCCTTTCACTCTGGGTATTGCCCTGTCATCTCGTGTTCGCGAGTCCCAAGTCCAATGGTGCACGCTAAAAGTTAGCCAGGTTGAGGCCTTGTTTCATTGCTGACCTCAACAGTGATACAGTGCACTCGCTGCGCATCACAACATTTTGCATAACGTTAATTTTAACATTTTTCAATTGCTGCCTTCTGATGAATCACCAAACACATTCGTCTAATTTTTATCCCGTTTCAGCGCCATTTCTATCTTACTTCAACCAGAATGATCTTCGCGCACCACGTACTTCCTCTTAGATTTTCACCCTTTCCGGACGGGAAACCTCTTTCGTTGCTATTGTCATAGGCTCACGATCGCAACCAGAAGCTGCACATATGTTTCGTAGTAAATCACGAACGACTATTTCGGCAATTCTCAACCGCGTTTCCTTTACGGCCCACTCTAGTTGGGTTGGTCTGATGGCTTTGACAGAAACCGAGTCGTCTTTTTGGAAATGATTCTCGGGTCTCTACTAAAACTGTCTACATGCGATAATCTCGGTAACTCCTTAGCATGCTATCCACACGGAAAAGGTCACTGCTTTGTCTGTATGCTGAGAATCACATGCACATTCAAACCTCGCCCGGCTTATCTCTAATAGCCATATGGATCATAATGTCTGGTCTCGTTTTTCTTTCTTCTGTATTTTAACCTCTGTGTGTCTGTCGTACAAACTCTCATTCCGTATTGATCCGGCTTATTAACCTCATCGCTCTTGTACTTTATTTTTCACAGACTTCCAGTGGGTTCTTATGTCCTCACACCTTCCGCTGATCAGACGACTGGACCTTTCGACCTGTACGAGGCGGATCATCCAGTTTCTCCCGAAGGGTGAGTATCTTACTTTGTTCAGGCGGATTGTGGCAGCCTCACGGCCAATGTACTGAGCCCTTTCTATTCGTTGCCTGCATCTGCTGGTGTATGTCAGTAACCCACTCACCTAGTTTAGAATAGTGGATCATTGCGTTGTACATGCCGGTTAGAATACAGTTTTGCCTCCCATGTGTGGCTGACGTGTTTTGCTTTGTGATACTTCGGCTAAGTGCCAGTCACTTTGCGTTAGTCCCGCAATTGCCAAACTGTGACAAATTGGTGACGAAGATTAAACTTGGAATAAATTACTATGAGCCATCTTACCCCGCCTGATCCCTTTTGGAAGGGCACGTCATCTAAGCCACCCTTAGCAAGTTGGAATTGTTGGAACCGAACATTCTGTGACTACCTTGAGCTTTTCACAATTACACACCCCAATATACCAAACTACAGAGACAACACCTTGGTGCAGAAGGTCAACGGCATTTTGATGCGTTGCGTTTGTATGAAAGCACATCCTTGACGGACTGCTTTAACGTCCTGGATGACCTTTATTTGCCGTGGCAACATATCTTTAAAACGCGTCTAACTTTTTCTCACTTAAGACATTGAAGAGGTGAGTGTTAATGAATTCGTGGTATACAACACTCCCTGACTGCCGTTACAATGAAATCCCCTCAACGCAATTCGAAGAGACGATGGCGGTGCAATGCCTTTTGTTTGGGATTCGGGACAATAAAGCTAGTGAACGCGTGCTATCTGAAGACGAGCATAAACTCACTTGGGAAACAGCCTGCTCACTGGTCAGACAAAGCGAAAGTGTTGTGCAACAGTTCATTCAATATCGAAGCGATTCTTTTTCAGACGCCTTCCATGCGGTTAAATCTCGACTATCACCCACCAATAAATGTTTCTTTACGTGTTACGGATGCGGTGAGAAGCATGAAAAGGTTACTGATTGCAGATACAAACAGTCTACTTGTCATACGTGTAGAAAAGTCGGACATATTGCACGCGTATATCGTGCGACTGTGCTTCAACCGACCGATACCCCGCCCTATCCAGAGTACTTTTCAAACTGTGGCAAACACCGACGATCCCATACTCTATCTAATTTCGCACACAACATCACACGCAATGGAAATACCCCCGTACACTGTTGATTTAAATATTGAAAGCCAGCCAGTACGTCTGTAAATCGATACCACGGCCTCGGTTACATTGACCAACAACCTAACTTTGCCTGACCTGGTTCTGACACTGACTCAAACTAAATTATGATCATACACTGGGGGAACACTCGATGTTTTGGGTATGTGTGACGTTAAAGTAAATCATGGGGACAATACGTTGACTCTTCCTCTAATCGTTGTTAACACAGACGGACCTAATCTATTTGGGTGGAACTGGTTGAAGTTCAATTCGGAAATATTACACACTGTCAAGCAGTTGGGCCGTATTTCTAACTTACCTACACTCTTGAAAAGCTTTGCCAGTGTTTCCGACACAAACATACCTGGGAAATTACGTGATTTGAAAGCTTGCTTGAATATCAAGCCACAGACTCAACGGAAATTTTACAAGGCACGGAGTCTACTTTTCGCAATCCGTCCGAAGGTAGAGTTAGAGCGATTACAAAAGGACGGAATAATTTCACCCGTACGCCACTCTTCCTGGGCTGCACCCATCGTTCCTGTACAGAAGCCTGATGGCTCAGTTCGCATTTGCGGCGACTATAAACTGACAATTAATCAAGCGACGACGACAGAACATTATCGGATTCCACGGATAGATAACCTTCACCAACTTTGTCGTGTGGACAAAAGGTCTCGAAACTAGATGTAAGCCATGCTTATTCTGAAGTGCAGCTACAGGATTCCTCAAAGGAAATTGCTACCATCAATACACACTTGGGATTATTCTGCTATAACCGATTACCATTCGAGCTATACTCCGCGCCGGCGATCTTTCAGAGAATCATAGAAAAGTTAGTGAAAGGCATGCCCGGAGTTTACGCTTACTTGAACGACATTTTCGTTACTGGTTGTACGGAGTACGGATATTTGACAACACTTGCAACAGTCTTGAAACGCCTTTTGGAGAGCGGACTGAAACCCAAAGAATCCAAATGTGTCTTCTTTTGTGATACCGTTAAGTATCTGCGATTTCGTTTGGACGAACACGGGTTACATCCCCTACGGGAAAAAATTCAACCCATTCTGGATTCTCCAACACCCCTAAATATTAACGAACTGTAATCATTTCTTGGGATGGTATCGCATTTCAGTCGTCTCTTAACCACTTTGGCCAGTATTCTGGCACCATTGTTTATTTTACTTTGTAACAATACCTGGTGGATGTGGCCCAGTGAACAAAAAAGGCTTACGATGCTGTGAGATTAGCTATTAGTAGCGCTGACTTGTTAGTGCATTTTGACCCCAAAACCCGATCACTCTTCGTTGCAATGCGTCACCCACAGTGCTCGGCACCGTACTGTCACACCAAATGGAAGATATGACCGAGCGATCAATAGCTTTTGCGTTCAGAAGTTTGGCACCAGCGGAAGTGAACTATGCGCAGCTTGGCAGCGAAGCTTTATCGGTTATCTTTGGAGTTCAGCAATTGCAGCAGTATCTGTGGGGAAGAAAAATTAAATCTTTACTTACCACAAGCCTTTCTTAACTCGGATTGGTGAGAAAATAGGCATAAACCAGATTGTGTCACCTCGTATGCAACGCTGGGCTTTATTGCTCTCCGCTTCCAGTTACATGATCGCCTATATCCTTGGGAAAGCAAATGGAATCGCGGATGCTCTGAGCCTTTTACCGTTGATTTATCTGTGGAGCTTCTCCATCTGCTGTAACATTTCGGCGAAAATCCGGTGTCGAATGCAGATATCCGTCAGGAAACTGAACGGGATGCATTACTGGCCCAAGTCAAGCGACTAGTCTCTCAAGGTTGGCCTGGAAAGCTGTGAACCGCAACTACTGCCCTACTTTGTCCGACGCGCAGAGCTCAATCTCGAGGATGGGTTTTTGCTATGGGGATCTAGGGGATCATACCAACACAAGGGCGACAGAATGTCTTACCAGAACTTCACGACACGCACCCAGGAATCATGAGAATGAAGGTACTTGATGATCTTATGTGCGGTGGCTTACTATTGACAGATATGTCGAAGAGTTGATCTGACACTGCGACTTGCGTCAAAGCACCCAGAGGAATGCCTTCCTGTGCCACTTAGTCCTTGGAAATGGCCCGGTAAACCGTGGGAACGCATACACGCAGACTTCTTTGGCCCATTTGGTGGAAAAATGTTTTTCCTCTTGATTGATGCTTACTCGAAATGGATAGAAATTTTTCCACTTACCTATGCCACCTCTGAGACGACCGTTTCCTGTATGCGGACATGTTTCAGTACCTTCGGTATACCACATATGCTGGTACCAGACAACGGTTCCGTATTTACTAGTCAAGAATTCCAAGAGTTCCTCAAAAGCAACGGCATACATCATGTGAAATCAGCCACCTCCTACCCAGCTTCAAACGGTTTGGCTGAAAGAGCCGTCCAGACGGTCAAGAACGGGTTGCGGAAACAAGCCTATGTTCCACTGCGAACAAGGATAGACAAATTTCTCTTTGGCTACCGCGCCACGCCAAAAGAAACTACTGAGAAGAGCCCAGGCGAGTTGATGTTCGGACGGAGGTTGAGGACACGACTGGATTTTCTATTTCCTGACCAGAGGCTGTGTCGAGGCTAAGTAAGACAAATCTAAGGCAGAGTACGACCAGAAGGCTTCCGATCGAGGATTCTGCGAAAATGAACCGGTCTACATCAAGCTGCTCAACGAAACTACCTGGCAGCCTGGAGAATTGCTCGAAGTTGCGGAACAACATACGGAGAAGGCTTTACCTGATGGCATGGTAGTTACTCGGATCACGTCCGTCATCATTCCGCTTCAACTCCGCCAGATGACACCTCAAACCAGCAAACTGGTTTGACAAAAGCGCAGAACTCTCAAAACCCTAGCCGACCAGAGGCTCAGCAATGTCGCCGTTCAACTCGGCTACGATGACCCGTCGACCGATACCTAGCATGCTGGAGTGGTCCAAACTGAAGGAAGAAGGAATGTGGCATCCTCATGGCCAATTTATTGATCCCCTTCTATTCGGTGCCTGCACCCGTTGGCGTGTGTCAGTAACCCGCCCACCTATTTATCGATTGCCTTAGCTTAGAATAGTGGATCAATGCTTTGCATAACATGCGGGTTAGAATACAGTTTTGCCTACCATGTGCCTAACTTGTTTTGCTTTGTGATACTTTGGCTAAGAGCTATCCACTGTGCGTTATTTCTGTAATTGCTAAACTGTGGCATGGATACACTGCCATATTGTAATACATGGTTTCCTGATGGTTTATTTCTTGTAACTAAGTGGCTAGTACGGCGTACCTGGGCATCGGCGTTACCGTGCTTCACAATCCTCAACACATTTTGGAGTGATACTAGGGAACAGAACCCCGAATGATTAAATGCAACAGGATACATTATTGAAATCATTTTGCGTTGTGTTCCGACCGGATACCCTCCGTTCACAATGTGTCCTGTAATTCCTTTTTTAATCCACTCGGTATTACTCCGTCTTCATAAGAGCTGCTATGGCGCTGTGGAGCTGAGAATGGGAAAAACGGGGAAAGAGGACTAACGAAGGTACGCGTAGTTTCTTCCTGATAAACGAATGCAACGCTGATATCATTGGTTCTCTTATCGCAGACTGTGGGACCACAGACGGAATAAGCTTTTCATGCAACGCTACTTTACTAAAGTGTGCGGACCTGCATAGACATACGATTGGTGGACCGTAAATACTTATTAACGCTTTTTTATAATAAAATACATGTATTTATTATCGTTACCCTTACGTTCCATGAAGTTCTGTTAACCACACGAGATGCTCATGGCGTATGAGCTCACACAACGAACACAACGCGCTTTTGAGTTCCACTGTTGCAGGATCCCTCTGGCGATACTAACTTATTTGTGGTTTACTGCAATTTGACGCCGTTATTTTTCGTACTTCCTTTCTTTGCTTTTATGTTGGTTTTTATGACTTACCAGTGGTCCATTTTGAGTACTGATGCCCCTCCGGTTACAGCGTCGCATTATGTGTGGGAGCCCATAACGTCTCACACGCTTTCGCTTCAACCGAGTGTCTTATACTGTCTTGCCGAACAACTTCATCGTGATGCCAGTTGGGTTGTTCGGGTTTATCCCGTTCAAGCAAATAGTTCGGCGGCAGTGTTCCAATACGTGGTGGATTTTCGCCTGACAAGTCTTCTCCTTATAAAAAGCCCCATATGTGCGTCTAACAACACTGCGACGTGGCGGATGTGACTCGCCGCTAAATAAAGTCACTGCCTCTTGCTTCACTCCGATGGAGGATTGTATCCAACAACGCGAAGCTCGAATTGTGCGGAGTATTGGGCCCCTGTTTGTCAACCGACCAAACGAAAGGCTTATGAACTGAGCAATCAGTCACCGGCTCCTTATGTGCGGCATTCCCTGAATTCGCTCCGTTACCTTGCGGATAGGCTATTTTGCCAAAGGCTCGGGGTGGTGTCCCCTAAGTCAACACCCTACTTCGCTTTGGGCAACCAGGTAGTAACTCGCCCTTTGACGAAACCATGGATTTCTCTGTGTTGTGTTCGGTTTTCTTTTTATGACAACCGTACTTTCCTTTGATTTCCACGGTTTTTGATGACTGTCTATTCGTTAACTGGTATATATATATATATATATATATATATATATATATATATATATATATGCGCGTGCTCAATCGAAAAAGACCGTCGCACCGTTCTTCAACGTTGATCGCAACATACTACCAACCTGGTTAGCGGCGTCGTGCATCAACCGGTCTCCTGTCTTGAAAATTAGACAGCCTTACTTCAGCTTGCTACATATTCGTCACACAACCTAGTGTTCTTCGCTTTGAACAAACTAGTCAGTGAGGCTCTATTCAAGTGCTGTTGACCATATACACGAAATCTACCATTATCTGAGAAAATTTGCTGCACCGCTATCTCTATGGTACCTGATGTCTAGTGCCTACAAAGCTTCACCATTATTTAGCACAAGCCTTGAATGAGCAATGCCAATGTCCTCCACATGATGTTTTTCGACACTTCCTAGCTGCGCGCCTTACTGCCCATTAGAGTGGGACCGCCTTACATATTTTTCTTGCCTACTTCACCTGTTTCTCGATTGTACCCTTTGATGCCTATTGCTGCCAATATTTTATCCATTTGGGCGAAGTTTCAAGGTGACTTGGTGATGACACGGCAGGTAGGCATGAATCGACTGGTAATGAAGGGACGGATATGGTCTTTGTGTACCATTTTAGAGTATTTAGACCTCGGCATCGGCCATGTCATTCGTTATAAACGGTTTCCACCGTGGTGCGTTTTACATATCGGTTCTACTAGAACATTCATTCTTTAACCTGTGATTGTTGACCTACGCGTACACTGTTTTAAACACTAAAAATCCCCTTATCTGGAACAGCTCTTTATCTCCTCTGGAGCACGCATTAAGTCAGCCACAGGACTGGCTAAAACGGGCGATCTCAGGGATTGAAGGGTCATTTTGAAGTACACGTTGTGTGGATGGTTTGTGACGCGATTCCCATTAAAGCTAACCTTGGCCAATCCGACCACTAAGACCGAAGCGTATGGAAATTGGATGCTGTCCCCCGGAAAACACTGCATACCACTACGCGTTCCGACCTTGTTTGATCTAATCAGGTAGAAATAGTAGACCGCGAACCAGGGACCTTTGGGATGTTAGTTCACTTTAGCCCTCAGGTCACGACGTTTGACACAGCGGTTAATGACTGATTGGACGGTCTGCTATCTCTATCTGATGAGATCAGCCAAGCTCGCAACGCGTAGTGGATTGTAGTGTTTTCGGACGATATCCATTTTTGAAACCACGTAGCCACCAAGAGTCGTTAGCAGTCGCTGTGATTGTGCAAGTAGTTTCATGTCACACGACTTACTCTCATCAGTTAGATTAGCAGTTATATTAACACACTACTCTCTTGCACTCGGTAGTCCACCCAAGTTGCGCTTGTTACCATAATTTTTCTGGTGTCTTAGTTTTGATAACCAGTTACTGGAGGTAGACATGCTGTCCTCAATCAGTTATGTGCAATTCGATGGAGTTTTGATCGCTGTGTGTTCTAGCTGGTAGGTTATTCATGTCGACTGCTTACGTTCCTGCTTTACTTAGTGGTCTTGATCAGTGATTCCTGAGAGCACGGTCAGTGGTTCTTGCTTTTCTTAGGCAGATGTTGCTTCCACCGATGGCTAGTTCAGAAAGAACGACTCGGTCGCCTATCGCTTTTATCCCTCCCTAGGTTTCACAATTCAGCGCGACCCCTACGCAGCTTACTGTGGCGCAGTGATAGGTTAGCGACTGTCCAATTTATTGTCTTGCTGCATACAGTTACGGAGAGGCAATGTCACCTTTTATCTTACACCCTTATGAGAATTCTACTTTCGGACACCTGTAACATGCACTTTCTGCTATGTACCAGTACATTGGCGTCATGTTTTACACACGTGCAATTGGTACGTTTAACTATGCTATGAAGAGATCACGAGCGTCTCCGTACGCTAGATCTTGTCTCGGCGTCGGCAACTACATCACGCCACCATTGGAAGAGTTGGTAACTTTCATCACTTTGCTGGTCCTGAATAGCGACTATAACTAAATGCCATTTACGGAACTACTGTCTACGTATTTGGTGTGCCAACAATATCTTCAACTTTTTGAAAATTTTGTGTTGCTCACCCGAAAACACTGTACACCTACTTTCTATCTACTTCTACTTCAACTTCGAATTGGTCAAGGTTCAATTCAGTGAGAACCACAGTTCACATTGAGATTACGCGCCGCAGCCCAATCCCAACGCGTTTTTCAAAACGACTAACTATCCTTCAAGTTTTCTTCGCCATGACAGTGGATCCCGCTGGGTCGATTGAAGCACTGCCACTCTCGACCATGAAATAATTTATGCGAATGCGTGATTCTTTTACGAGAGGGCGACGTAGGTGACGAAGTACAAATGATTTATTGTTCATTAGCTCCGATCACCCGGATGGCTTAATTTCCACACTAGTCATTCGTGATGGACTGTATCTTAAGCGCTTCTCATGACAAATGGGGATGCTCTTGTGTCTGTTGGTTCGTTGCGCTTGATATCTGTCCCCGGTTTATAACTCGGATAATACACAACTGATGCCTACATGGAAGGGTATTACGCACTCCGTTAGTTTGGACAGTAATGTTGTGGAGCATTCAACGCCTTCAAATACCTACTATCTCTCCACGCATTGGAATTTAAGGCACTATATTTGCCCTGCAAAAATTTAATCATTCTAATGATGGCGACTTACCTACAATCAGATTGCGTTTGACAGCTCAACACGTTTGGACACTGACCGTTATACTGAATGTCACGCACAGACGTTCAATGTACGTGCGGGCTCAACAATTTGAACCGATACGCCCCTTCCTGTCAGTGTTTTTCACCATCCCCCTACCTGTCTCACACTCTTACTAACTAATGTATTCTTTCACGAAATAGCCTAACTTTTTTGATACTTAGTACGTAAGGCCTAGCATTTCACAGCTCTAACTTTATTCGGCAACATTGCGGGGGATCAGAAGCTACACAACGATCTTGGAACATCGTGTCCCGATTTCCTTTCACGTGCCTCCTAGGAAACGTTCCAAACTGCTTCCGTCTCAGTTGCCTATTTTTACCACTTTGTTGTACTTTACATGGTGATCGACCTGGCCATGAAGTTTTGTCTCCAACTTTTAGGTACTTGTGCGGAGATGGATTGTCTGTTTTCTCATTCCTTTTGAACTCTATCTTTTTTGTCACAGTTTTCACAAGCGCCCTCTCGCGCTAACCAGAACTCCATGGTAGTGGAGCGGGACACTGACGTAGTACTGACATTAGCCCTCTTCACATATATCCGCTAATCCTTGCTCCACAATCTTGTGCTCCTAACGACCCGATATGTTAATCAGCGCACTGCTTGAAACTTGCCGCTGCGCGTCAGGTGATGTATTGCCGATTTTCTGTCCGTGTAGTCTTGTTTGATGGAATCGCACAGATTGCGAAATCACTAACGAGTTGGTTTGCATTTGAAAACCGGGTTTTCGTTCACTCGTGCTAAGTTCAGTGGTGCACTTACACCCCCGTACTTAAAGTATTGCGCATTGTTGTATGCACATCAACTGGTACATGTTTTGCAGCCTGACAGTTCCACACACGGTTTCAAACTTTTGCTGACGCGTGCTGGCTAGATGGGACAGCGCTCTCCATGCGATGTTCGATGTCTAAGTACATTCCATCTCAATGAAGCTGGACCTTACCGTGGTGCGATTGTTTACGTGCCTCAGAGATCCATTGAGCTATACTGGGTGGTGCTTTTTTGCACCTTCAGAACCGCTCATACCAAATTGGCCAATGGTTAGAGGCCAGACAAACTCAGCCTCCTGATCCTCCAGGTTGGGGGTTGGAATAAGCTTGGCACCTTAGTCCTTAAAATGGACTCCTTGTAGCCCATCGCCAAACCCACTGCCTTGCGGTAAGGTTTTTGTACCAATGGCTTTGGTTGATAACCCTGATCATTCTCCTGTTTAGGCTTGGGCAGCCTGACGGTATCCTACCCACGCAATACAATGAATTTCTCTTCAAACAATTTTTTGATGCTCTGGCCGTCGCAGAGGATAATAAACCACGCCCTACCTGCGTCATCGAGCAGGGTTGATATGGGTTTGGATGCTATTGCTCAAGTCTTCCTATCTTCTTATTCCTCCTCTTACACTTTATCACCCTTATCGTCCCGTTCCAATTCCACTTTTCTCCCCCCAATTTTCAACCTCCCGATTCTTGGCCCTCCCGCAACATGCCTTGCTAGGCTTTTGTCTTCTTGTTTCCACTCACATGTGAACGCGGAGCGTCACTCCTGTCTTGTTGACAAGCCCATGTCCAAGCAAGCGGTTCACCCCAGTTCATTATTTTCCGTTTGGAGCTCTCGATCCTCCTTCAGATTAGCTTGCTTCAATGTACGCACATTGATCATTATACGCACATTTACCTTCTTCCAGCCCTCTTCAAATTCGGTGACCCTGTTCTTGTTGATGATTTACACGAATTACCAGTGGAACTGTGGGAGTAGGAAATTGTCCCAACCGACAGGCGCCGCTCCGTTATTGTTCCGATCTTCAAAGGACGCTTGCGTTCGGAATGCAGCAACCATTAGGGAACCAGTCTCATCCTG